GAAAAAAAAAAGGTGTAGCAGGGTAGGGGAGGTAATTCTATTTCAGAGCATGTGACTATCCTGGAATTTATCCTCGTCTTGATCGCCCCGCAGAGGTTTAGGGACCGATCAATACGTAAGCCTGATAGTCTGCCAGGGTCCTCGCCTCATCAGCTAATGGAACATTTGACCAATTTACACCAATTTCTTGCTGGTCTCCGTAGGCATTATTGGCTTATCACTTCCTGTCGACTTGGAGGTAAAGGAGACGTTACAATACTGGTTATACAACTGGGGCTGGGTCTTGGCCATCCAAAACATGGTCTTCGTCATACAGGTTGCGGTCTTTTTATATAGGCAGTAGTCTTTGTCATTCAGGTTGTGGTCTTTTTATATAGGCATTCAGGTTGTGGTCTTTATTTTAAAATGTAGTATTTTATCAGTCTTTCTCATTCAGAATGTGGTCTTCTACATTCAGCATATGCTCTGTTACATTTAGCTTTTGATCTTATATATTCAGCTTGTGGTCTTTCTTATTTTAGCTTTTCATCTTTCTTATATAGATACATATCAAAAGTAACATCATCAGTACAATCACCAAATTAAAGGCAGCCGTTGATAGTCGATGTGTTGATTAATGTCGATGTTAGCGCGAGTTCGTAGATACAACCAACAACAGAACAGTTCGTAGATACAACCAACAACAGAACAGTTCGTAGATACAACCAACAACAGAACAGTTCGTAGATACATTGAATGACTCCTGCTGGTAACTTCAAAACTATTTAATGAATAAAAGGGGCACAGTCTTCGTCGTCTCTCGCTCGGTCTTCCTTCGGCCTTGTCCTTTGATTCTATATTTCTGTTCTTACTTTTGAATGATCCGTCACGTCACAACGAAAAAAAAAAACCCAATTAAACCCAAACTCCTCGGCGTGTTTTTATTGTGTCATTATACAGGACAGTTTAGCAAAGTAAAAAGTACTAATACAGTAAACACCAAATATATCTCAAATAAAACAATATCCTTTTTATTAAAATCAATTCTTACTTTATGTACAAATTATACAGTAAAAAAAATATTTAAACTTATACAATAAACAAAAACTTCCTATTTTATTTGACATTAAAAGTGAAGAAAAAAAGATCTGCATGGGGCTGGGCATTTGTATCATTAGCAGGACACTCTCTCAAACTGAAGCAGACCTAGTACTTAGTGCGAAATTGTAGCTTGACTTCAAGGATTCAATTTCTTGTAAGCACTTTTCAGCTTCCTTTGTGACGACCTAGGAAGAAAGTGTGAGTGTTGATAGTCTTTGAGTGTGTGGCTCTAATTAACTTATACACAACTACACACGTTGTACCCTTGTTAATATAGGAAAACTGGAACATAACTTTTATTAACAAATATTCATTGATTCCACTTCTATGTAGATATATTTAGAAACACTAGTGAAATAATATCTTAGTTAATTTTCAAACTCAATTTCTACTATTGTTTGTTAACTTTGTTTGCCTATTTGTGTATTTATTTATTGTATAAAATTTAAGCTAACAATTTTGGTAACCTTGTTTTTTTGGTTTTTTTTTCATTTTCAGGGATCGCATGCCAGAGACGTACTCAGATCAAATTGCTATCGAGAAAACTCCTGGCTATTTCGTCACAAAAGAAGCGCCTCAGCGGATCTACGATATGGACCCTCAAATTAAACTGCTGTTGGTGGTGCGTGACCCAGTGACCAGGTCAATCTCGGACTACTGCCAGGCGGCCACCAAGCACACACTGCAGCCCTACGAGTCTATGGCGCTTCTGGATGAGTCGCTGGGCCTCGTCAACACGTCCTGGAGTGCCATCAAGATTGGAGTGTACTCCAGACACATGGAACATTGGCTGCAGGTGTTTCCTCTAGCCCAGATCCACGTCGTGGATGGAGAGAGGCTGATAGACGACCCGGCCAGCGAGCTCGCGAAGGTGGAACAATTTCTGGGCTTGCCTAAATTCATCACTCCATCTCACTTCTACTTAAGGGGCTTCAAGGGCAAGTTCCCATGCCTGATAAAACGAGGCAAGCCCCATTGTCTAGGTGAGAAGACAAAAGGTCGCGAGCATCCTGTAGTAAAAGAAGCAGTCCTCCAGAGACTCCAAGACTTTTACCGTCCTTTTAATGCAAAGTTTTATCAACAAGTCGGTCAGAACTTTGACTGGAATTGAAAGCAATCCATAGTTTCTACTTGAACTTTACATAAAATGAAATGCAATGAACAGCAGCGTACAATAGACGGGGAATTAAAAGCAATAAATATCTTCCAGAGGACTGAAGAACGATGCAAACTTTCCCCTTAAGTTGCAATAAGTCTTAGAATTGCCTCATTTTAACTGTGAATAATGAAAGCGGACTCACACGCAATTCTTTAAACAAATTAAATTATGACAACTTGATGAATTTATGAAAATATGTGAGAATCATTTATTTTGCTAAGAAAAGATTGTATTCTAGCGTTTGAATGAACATATTTTGCTTGTAATATTTTGATACCATTATTATGGAAACTGATTTCTCCAAGATTTGAACACTATATTTGAACATGGCTCTTGTATAAGTTGAGTGTTTCTTTCTTAGATGTAACTCACGAAAACAATTTTTTAACATCTAACTAAAACTGACATTGAGACACTATTGGGCCCAGCAGAATGGCGAGCCATTAGAATGTGGTGAGGGGCTTTGATCTTGTTGTTCGTACAAGTTTAGCCACTCTCTCACCCACACGGATGTAGGACCTAAAGATTCAGATTCTCCTTACATTTCGTGATGACTCGCGCTGGCTGAGGCGTTTGGCTTCCATACGGGGGTCCAGGGTTCGAATCCTGGTGAAGACTGGGATTTTTTAATTTCGGTATCTTTGGGCACAAATTCTAATGGGTACCTGACATTAGTTGGAAAAAAGTAAAGACGGTTGGTCGTGGTGCTGGCCGCATGACACCCAACCGTAGGCCACAGAATCAGATGAAACATCTGCCCCATAGACCACAAGGTCTGATTGGGAAACTTTTAGATTTCGAGAGAGCTGGTCATCAGAAATGTACCAAGAGCAAGTATGACCTCAGGTCTAGGGTCTCAAGGAAAATATGTAAGAGGACCTTGTTCAACATCGCAGAGAGGACTGAGGTCCTGGACAGAGAAATACGTTTCTTCTCATTGATAGACCTACAACAGATTCCTTCACGTGCACACACTGTGACCTAGTTTCACACTTCAGAATTACCTTGTTTCGTCACAGCAGACTCTACGCCCGAGTCAAGAAGAAATGAGCGCCAGTAGTTCCTCTGAGTGTATACATGGAGCCCTATAGATCAAATTTAATCCTAATTAACCTAAACAGGGTATTGATCTAGTATGGACAGGGTTTTTTAGTTTAGCTTATTGCTTATTCATCAATAGGGTATATTGATCCTGCTTATATATATATATTCAGGGTAAATTTATCTAGCGTATGTTTACACAAAAATTGATATATTGATCATGCTTTATTAAGTATAGACAAAGCTAATTGGTCAAGCTTATAAGTCAGTAAATTAATCATTTTTTTTGTAACGTACATTTTGTAAATTATAGTAATCAGTTTTTTTTTCTCTAGACAATAATGTGCAATGACTTAACTAATGTATGTGTGTGTGTGTGCTTAATTGTTATGTCCACCATCTCCTATGAATGGTGTATTGTGTGTAATTGTCCTGTCCACCATGTGTCCTATGAATGGTGTATTGTGTGTGTCCTGTCAACCATGTGTCCTATGAATCACCAGACATAAACTAAAACTGCTGACCCTACAATAGTTGTGAGACTGGAACACCAAGTGACCTGCCTAGCTGGTTAGGTCTTGGAGGTCAGTCTACTCTTCAAAGCAGAAGTTTATTTTGACGTCTGTTTGTGATTCTTTCACTTTTATGTCACAATCATTCCAGTTCTTAGTTTTGACTTTCAACAATCACTCAATGTCTAGATTACTTTTAAGCAGCATGAGTCAGCGTTTTTCAAAATCCTGTTATACACTTCCTTCAAAAAATGCGTGGGGGAGGGGGAGAGAGATCGCGATACTGTACTGTAGCTAAATTAATCAGATACTAACGATGCTGACGGGAGGGTGTGGGGTGTTTTTCCATTTGGGATTGTAGGAAGTGTCGGGACACTTCCACTTGTAGGAAGCTGCTAAATTGAGTTTCGGGACACTTCCACTTGTAGGAAGCTGCTAAATTGAGTGTCGGGACACTGCCACTAGTAGGAAGCTGCTAAATTGAGTGTCGGGACACTTCCACTTGTAGGAAGCTGCTAAATTGAGTGTCGGCACACTTCCACTTGTAGGAAGCAGCTAAATTGAGTGTCGGGACACTTTTACTAGTAGAAAGTCGTTGATGAATTGAGTGTAATCACATTATCATTTGTACAAGTCTTGTTGTAAATGTAATGCTATAAACAAGATGAATAGATTTATTTTCATCAAACTGAAACCTCAAGTTTTTTAGAAGGTGAGCGGAGTTCCCCATGCCCACTTTGCCCTGCCCACTACCTAAAGACAAATAAGAAGTAGCATGTACATGTACAAACAGTTTTTCTTCAGTTGACAATGAGACATAGTATCTTTGAAATCTACTGTAACTTTATCTTTGAAATCTACTGTAACTTTATCTTTGAAATCTACTGTAACTTTATCTTTGAAATCTACTGTAACTTTATCTTTGAAATCTACTGTAACTTTATCTTTGAAATCTACTGTAACTTTATCTTTGAAATCTACTGTAACTTTATCTTTGAAATCTACTGTAACTTTATCTTTGAAATCTACTGTAACTTTATCTTTGAAATCTACTGTAACTTTATCTTTGAAATCTACTGTAACTTTATCTTTGAAATCTACTGTAACTTTATCTTTGAAATCTACTGTAACTTTATCTTTGAAATCTACTGTAACTTTATCTTTGAAATCTACTGTAACTTTATCTTTGAAATCTACTGTAACTTTATCTTTGAAATCTACTGTAACTTTATCTTTGAAATCTACTGTAACTTTATCTTTGAAATCTACTGTAACTTTAGAATACTTAAATGTCATCATGTCAACTCAATGAAACGAGTTCATGCCTGAATTATTGTGTATATACTTTATACTGTCTATTGAAATGAAGTCTACAGTCGTATCATGTTGTTTATCAATGTTTTATTGTCCATACAATATCCCATAATTGTATGCTAAAGTGTCTATCTATACTCATTCTAAATGTAGTGTAACTCGTTGTTCTCTTTATAAAGCAATGTCTTTAGTTCAAATGCAAGCAACTACTTTTACAGGTCAACTGGACCGACACCATTCTTATAGAAGGTCTCAACACTAAGCTGCAACGTCACAACCTGTGGGCAGTTTAGACCAATAGCTCATTGCCACGTGAACAGATCTGTGTTCAGGCCTTCTAAAACGATTGAATTTTTAAAAAGTAAGAACCAAATTGTTTGAACTAGTTCAATGCATTGTACGTTTGATACCCCGGTAGAACAAACGTTGAGTTGAACAAAAGTTGGGTTGAACTAAAGTTGGGTTGAACTAAAGTTTATTTGAACTAAAGTTTATTTGAACTAAAGTTGGGTTGAACTAAAGTTTATTTGAACTAAAGTTTATTTGAACTAAAGTTGGGTTGAACTAAAGTTTATTTGAACTAAAGTTGGGTTGAACTAAAGTTGGGTTGAACTAAAGTTTATTTGAACTAAAGTTGGGTTGAACTAAAGTTTATTTGAACTAAAGTTGGGTTGAACTAAAGTTTATTTGAACTAAAGTTGGGTTGAACTAAAGTTTATTTGATCTAAAGTTGGGTTGAACTAATGTTTATTTGAACTAAAGTTGAGTTCATAAAAGTATCATGTAGTAAAAGTGTACTCTAAATATCTCCTTATAAATGTAAGTTGCTCAATTTGACTATGACATTCAGAAACCGGATGTGTGATGAACTCACGTTCTATTTACGAGATTTCACTAGCTGTTGAATCCAAACGAACACACACACAACTACCCACTGTAACACACACACAACTACCCACTGTAACACACACACACGACTTATGCAATGCAATATTCTTGCCAGTTTGTGCAACACTTTTCGTCTCGATTCTCTGTTTATGGTTGTGATATTTTGAGACTTATTAATTAACCCAATCCTTGTTAAATGATCTATTATTTCTTTTAATCTATTATTTCTTGTATATTTATAATGTATATAAAATGTTGTATTTTGTCCATGTTTTTGTCCATTATTCTATGAGATATTTGTCTTCGAAAACTTGGACAGAAATGAATGGAGTGAAAGAACAAGCACTCTGTATTGTTTCTTTGTATTTGGTCATGTCAGTATAAAATAACATTTGGGAATGACTTGAAATAAATATCAAGTCATGATTTAGTAATAACAATAACGCGGTCATTTAAACCTCGTCTAATCATATAAACAACTGAATAAGTTCAACACTAGAATAATTTGGACAATAAGAGAAGTTGAACAACAAATAATTTGAACATCTGAAAAAAGTTTTATCGCACAAAAGAATCATTGCTAAAAGTAATAGTATTCTCTATAGTTTAATTGTGGAAGAGTCTTTACTTTGAAACATAAAAGATTGTTCTTTTCAACTTGGTGAAATTTCAAACTGTTCAAACGACGCAGCCTTATTACAAACACAGTCACTGGGATCTACTTATGTCCGCGTAGAGACAAAAAGAAAGAGTGTGCTAATGAAAAAAAAAGAGTGAAGGTTAACTTTATGGCGTAACAACATCTGTGGAAACTTTGATCACTTTATAATGAGGTTTGTGCGTAGTAATATCACGCTAGAAGGATGACGCAATAATGATGTAATAATAACGCCATGGTCCCATTGGTTGCTATGAAAATTGATGCGGTGTGAGATAATTGGACTTGAAAAATACCCGGCTCCAATACACCATGGGCCGGCACTGCTGGAATCTTAAATCGTTTTCATCTGAATTTTTTTTTTGGTTGGGGAAGTTGCTTTACAAAAAAAGTAAAATATAATTAAAGGTTTTGTGATGTATGAATAGCTTCAAGGCATTTGGAAAGTTGTTCCCTGGTCTTACTTTCGATGTTCCTCGAGGTCGATCTAAGGAACAATGAGTTGGAATCACTTATGAGGAACTATGTGCTTAAGCGTGAGTGTGTGTGTGTATGCGTCTGCCAAACAAATATAAATAAATTCAGCCACTCTCTGTACTCCACACTTCACTTGTTGTTTGTCTGCAGATGTTAGAAGTGAAACATTCAGTTGAGTCTCACGTCTAGAACTGATACTGTTATTTCAACATCCTGTGTGTGTGTGTTCTTACGTGTTGTGCAACTTTGAATCATGTGCAGAGTTTACATATTAGACTCGTCTCTCTTCAGCTCGATGTGTATAAGCGTGAGGGTGTGTGTGTGTTTGATGATGTGTCAAGATCCTCGTGAGTAAGGAATTTTTTAAAAAAAGACAAAAACTATAAAGCGTTGGCCTGTGTTATGATGTCTGAGACACGGTGGCCTACATCAAAGTGTTGAGCTGTGTTATGATGTCTGAGACATGGTGGCCTACACCAAAGTGTTGGCCTGTGTTATGATGTCTGAGACACGGTGGCCTACATCAAAGTGTTGAGCTGTGTTATGATGTCTGAGACATGGTGGCCTACACCAAAGTGTTGGGCTGTGTTTTGATGTCTGAGACATGGTGGCCTACATCAATTGAGCCAAAATAAAAACATAAGTTTTTTTCCTATTATTTTATTCCATTGTACAATTTCTATTGAAACTTTAATGGAAACAAATCTTGAATTTATATTCGAACAGAAACTTACATAAATCTTTTTTTTTTTTTTTTTGGTTTCTTACCAAATTTTGTTTGAATTTATTTGTGACACCAAAAATGACACAATGCTGCAACAACAAGAAGAAATCTAAAAAGCTTAAATGACAAAATGTCTGATCGGCTTTCCAACAATTTTAGCAGCTTTCAAATCTGACGTCTCGACACTCAGTCATATTGAAGGATCTGTAAAATCCATTATCTCAAAAATTATTTGTGCATTAATTCACATTACAGACATTTGTGTGTTAAAATCAATAATGGAATTTGAACAAAATACAGTAACAAATAAAACAGTGAAAAGTTTATCATAAGATGCAAAATACAATTGCTTGATCCTTACTAAGCAAAATAAATAATTAGTCAACGGTTTATTTTGTATTCTCTGGGGTTAGTCCTCTTGTTTGCGTTGTCTGATCCAACACTGAACAGTAACAAAAGTAGTTTTTAATTAACATCTACATCCACATCTATATCCACATTTATATCTATATCGAAACCTAAATCCACATTTACACTTCTACATACACATCTACACTTACTTACTTGTATACCCACATTTACATCCACATCTTGTGCGTAGCCAGGATATATATATACATGTGTGTGTATACATAATTAATCTTTATTACATTCTGACCCTTCATTCTTTCGGAAGACGTTTATTGTACTATTTAGAATAGGTTCTTCGTGGAGTTAGTGGAAAAATTGTTGACTCCTCGCCCTTGCCAGGAGGTCTGGGGGAGCGCTGGAAGCCAAACACTATTTCCGGTATTGAAAGCCAACAAAATGCATATTCTGAAGTACCTACAGTGCATTATCCTACTATTAAAAAGTTTTACTTCAAAAATCTAATCTGCTATTCTTACTTACTTAGATCCTCAGGCGCAGTTAGGCGCATTGGGCGACAAGCTGCATTCCACAAAAATCTGTTACTGGCAATGTCTTAAGCTTCTTCCCACCTGCTCTGAGGTCCTCCATGAAAGTGTGGCGCCAAGTTATAGCCTACTAGGATTTCACTGTTTGCGTTTTCCTCGTAATTGTGACAGGTTGTGACGTGTGTTTGGCGCGTTTAGTGTCTAGGGGATGATTATTTTTGAAACTATCACACACCAACCCGTCAAGATATAAATTGAGAGCAGGCACGCAACGAGACAAGCAATGAAAGAGAGATACAAAGTAAAAAATGAAGAATATTTATTTACATAGAAGAATAAAAAGGGGGAGGGTTTGCATCTATCTCTAAGCAATACTATGTTTAATCATCACTCTTGCACTTAATAAGAGAGTATGTCCCCTTTTTCTTCTGAACTTAGCTGGTTGTCCTGTTGATGTCGCAGCTGGCTGTGATCCTGGCTTGAGGTTCTGCAGCTGGAGGTGGCGCTCTAACGGGTAGAGGGATTCCGGTTATACAGTTCTTGTGGAGTCTCAATCCAAAGTTCTGATATCTGTAGTGGGCACAGTAGGGCGGTTGGCCGGCTACCGTGGGCACAAGGTTACTGCGGGCAGAGCTGATCTGCTGTGGGCAGCGTAGTTGACAGGATAAGTCCAGTGAGTTGCAGAGGGTTTGGCGTAGATAGGACGTCTCGCACAGATCTGGGTCTACAGGGACGTCGCACCTAATAAGTTGTCAGGTGGGCTGTCGAATAGGCGGTCAAGGCCGATAGCGCCAAGTAGTAGAGTTGAGTAGATCCACGTAGGCAGGGGATGATACTCAATAGCCAATAGGCAGTTGACTAGGCAGACAAGGCCGAATAAATATGCAGGTGAGTGATCCGATAAATAGTTGAGTAGTGTCGAGTAGACACTGAACAGCAAATAGGCAGGTAATTAGGCAGGTGATCCAAACAAATAGTTGGGTAGATCTCAGTAGGAAAGTGCAGTGCTGAATAGCTCTAAGCACATAGACAGACACCTGAGGGAGGCTGCGGATAAATAAAGACAAGTTAGGACATGTCTCTCATGCATCTTATCGATGCATTCGTCAGATTGGCGGAATTGCTTTTGAGTACAATGAGGAGATGATGACAAATGGGATTTGGAAAACAGTAGCAGTATAAAAATGTACATAAAAAGGGAAATAATAAACTCAAATAGACAACACAAGGGGGAATGGGCAGTGGTCAGCGACCATGATGATTTGTTTACATACGACCGTCGGCCGAGAACAATGGATCGAGCTTGAATGGGGAGAGCGGCCGTTCAAGGAGCGCAACTCTCGTCCAAGTAGAAAGACTAAATGGGAAATAATTCATATCTCCTTTCTAAACGCAATATCAGTGCGCTAGTAAAATTATCAAGGCGGTCAGCCGAGATACAGGCAATAAAATAAGACGTATAAATATATACATGGTTGCCTCAACGATCAATTGAGCAACGTAGCACTAATAGATTAATGCAATACTTAAATATATACATATGCCATGTTTATTACTTACGATACTGAGAAATACACAATGCACTAATTAAATATAAGTGAAGTAATAAAATACACATGATAATCTCCAGTGAGAAATATGCACAAAGTAATTAAGATGGAACTTGTGAGTAAATTCGGCTTACCACCAGGTATTCCTCTAGGAGTGAGAATAAATGAAGTAGTCCAGACTCGATTGCTCAGTTAGAATGAGAAATGAGAGAGTGTCTATTCCGCCTTACTCTACCTTATATAGGCATGGAAGATATGGGCGGAAACAGGAAATGTCCT